CCGTACCCGGGCATTGATCAAAGCAGAACAACCACTGTCGCCACTACTGCTGCCAACACCTCCAACCAGCATTGTGACACCGCAGTTAGCCTTTTAAAACTTGTTTCGTGTTGTGTTTGGACTGGGGAGGGGGGGTGCTGCTGGCGGATTATTTACATCTGAGCCGCGAGCGTGAAAATGGAAGGCGTAGTCGTAGAGGCAACCAAACCGCCGGGCAAAAAAAAACAATCCGCAATGTCTAGCGTTTGGAACGCACTCAAGTTTTGTTTTAAATCGACCAAAAAACAAAGCACGACCTCCCCACTCCCCCCAATAAGGGGATCGACAACTGGCTCATCATGCAGCAGCAGCAGCAGCGGCAGCGGCCGTCCACCAACCCAGCGTCGCCCGCACATCCCGGCCAAACGTTGGAACAATTGCAGCAAACCCCTTTCTGTTTGGGGTCCTTTTTGGGCAGGGTATTTTGAGAGGGGCTTCACGTACGTGATTTTTTGTTAATTCTTTTCCTCCACTTCCAATGTTTCGGCAAGCTGGAGTACGGGCGGAAGGGACGGGAAATTTGTGGCGAGAGGCATGGTGATGACGACGCTCCATTCTGACTTGACATCCAAGATTGCTCGTGACAGACAGCAACACTCGTGCTTGATGTTGCGCCATCACTGAAACGCCTCAGCGCAGTTTTGTTTTTTTATTCGCCTAGGGGACCTTTCTATTGGCAAATTGCCCCGGTGAAACACAGCGCCGGTCTGCAAGTGAGCGTTTCTCTGTATGGGTGGGCGATGTTGACAATCGTTCTTCCAATAACGTTTGCCTGTTCTCCTATAACGCTGTTGTCATGGCACGAATTGGATAGAACGCGATGAATGTATTCGGGAACACATTTTTCTAATGACGCGGATTGGATACAATGCGATCGAGGGTACAGAACACTTCGCGCTCGTAGGAATAAGCGGTTGTTGTACGGGTGCCTCGGGAGAGCATTACGCAAGTGCGGGATGCTGCTGGATGCTTCTCGATGCTACCCACGCACTTCGGTCTTTGTTCAGCCTGCGGACGCATATTGCGTGTTATCGCGGACTGTGCTTTTACCCTAAATTATACATTATTTATAACGCGATTTCTCCAGACCACAGTGTTCTTCAGGAACGCGACTGCCACGTCACAGGAGAACGGACAATATTTGCGAATCATTTCCCGCGTTTGGCAAATTCTGATTCATGATACCCCCCCACACACACGTGACCTACTTGTTGCGATGTGACATGTCCAGTTGTTGTGATGTGACCTGCCCAGTTGTTGTGATGTGACCTGTCCAGTTGTTGCGATGTGACCTGTCCAGTTGTTGCGATGTGACCTGTCCACTTGACGCAGAGCTGTCCGCACTCTTCATAGAGAGCCACCCTGGAGGGTATTTGGCCTACTCTTCCACGCTGGCCTAACTTTATCCCACCGCACCCGAACTGCCGATTGGCTAACTGGTGGTAAACTCATATATTTTTCTGGGTGGACTGTTAAAAAAAAGAGTTCTGATATCCAGGCAGCAAACACCTCTATAGCCGGGCATGCAATATGGCGCGGTACCACTCTCGTGTGAATAATAGGCAACTGAGGGAACCTCAGAAGTAGTTCTGCGACATCAACTTTCTCCAGCGCAAGGTGGTGCACTGTTCGCAGCGAGGGACGACACGAGCTCCCGTTCTGATGAAGGCGCGCAGCTCTGGAATTGTCTGACTGTGGCGATGGCCGATCGCATCCATCCATCGGGTGCGGTGCCCGGGTATGGAGCGACTAAAATCGGCGCTGGCGACGGTGAGCTGTGGAGCCCTTAATCCTATTTCTCCACATTAGCACGGCGCTCCTAATTAATTGGATTAAATTGTCTCAGTGCGGCCCGACAATACGGCAAATCTGGGAATGCCGAGTTTGGCTCCGGTGGTTTTGCGCGGTTGTCTGCGACGCGTTACAACAGATGCGTTCCTCGAAATCGTCGTCAGCCATGGTCTGTCACTGCTGGATGAAGGCCTCCGCCCCACATCGAGTAGATCATGGGGGTTGTTTGACCACACTTCAACCATATTTCACCTCGCGCTGCGTGAGCTGCCGTTTGAGAACATTCGAGCGAATCTGTATTCGGGCTTGCAGCGGGCAACAAAAGGCACGCAACGCTTAAGTTGTGGGCAAATTATATCGGGATTATGTAATTCGTCGCGCCGTCGAAACGGACATCGCATCGTGAAACATGATATCACGCGAACGCTCGCTTTGAGACGAGAACAAGCTAACGCCACTTCACTTTAGTGAACGAATTTTGCTCATTTTGGCATGATTTTTTTCCGTGAAAAGCGTGACGCCGGCTTGCGCCGAGCGTGCCAACTCAAGCAAGAGGCGCGGACATTGATCAGGAGGCATAGGGACGAATTCTCACGGTGGAACGAGCGCAGCGGAACGCATTTTACGAGTGGAAATGTCATTCGGGGTAATAAGAGGGCTTCAGGGCAGAGCTGTGAGACATCGGAACAAAAAAACTGGAGAGAGAGAGGAAAAAAAAGACAAACGCGTTATTATTTATTAATTTAAGAATCAATTCACTTTTTAAACAAAAAAATCCTCCCCTTCAATGCTTCTTGGTCCAGAAATAGACGCCGGCAATCTGTTTGTTCAAAAATGCGCGACGGATCTATATTTAGAAAGCGCGATGAGAAAGTCCATCTTCTGTCTCCGCGCTTTGGCGAGTTTTTTTTTAAATAAATCTTCAGTTGCTGCAATCGCCGAGACGTTGCGAGTCTTCGTGGGACTGCCGACAAACGCTCTCGTTCCGTGGCGCTCGCGTCACGTGCGACAAGCATCGGGCGCTACATCGCCCCTCGCAAACCAAATTTACCGACTCGCATTCAAACACGGCCCCCACGCAGCACAACCCCTGGAAGCCCGACTCGGGTACAGAGAGAGGGGGGCTAGGCCCCCCACTAGCGGAACGGCCGTGGTCGATCGACACAATCGCTGAACCTCTTCTCATGCCTCGGTCCACCACGTTTTTTTTTTCTTCCGCAATTGGAAATTCATTTTTGTTTTATGAAAGAAAGTAAAAAAAAAAAACGGATTGCTTAAATATTATGTTTTTTTGAATATTTGTTTTACTTGTTTAGACATGTAATGTGCAAAGTTGAGAGGGTGTAAGATTACTACTTTGGCAGGAGTTGTTACACGGAGCGGTGCATTGCTCTCCACGAGAGGTCCAAATGAAAAAAAAATATCTAGGAAATGTAATTGTTCGGCAAATTGATCTCAAACTGCTTTGACCGCCCAATGCACACCTGCGTAGTCGTGCAAAAAATATATGTGGCTCATTAGTCTGAGAAAGTCGAAGCTGGTTACGTTTTCCTGCTTAAAGCATGCTTCTGGAGTTTCGGAAGTCTCCTAGGCAAATGGTTAAAAATTATTTAACTTTATCAAATGTAAAATTTTCATTTAAAGCTTTCGTGACTGCAGGGATTCATATTCTTGGTTCTTTCGGTAAAGTCACGTAGAAGGGAAATAATAAAACAATACAAAAAAACTATAAAAATTATCACGACGTTTCGACTGCAACACAAGCAATCATCATCAGGTGTGAAATCCACAGCAAGAAAATTTGAACGTAATTTTTCTTAATAAATTCAGACAACAAACAATGAGCTTGTGTAAGGTATTGCTCTTTGCATTGTGCAGTACCATAGTTTAAATCGGGTGATCCTGCCAATAAGATTTGTTAAATCCAGCAAAGGCCTGCTGCTTTTTGCCAACGGGACCCAGACGGTCGAAACAAGCCCAGTGTTGGCTTGCTTTAAACAAAATCCACTTCGTAATATTCGTCTGCAAAGCCTGATGGAGCACAACGCCAATAGCCTGATGGATTATACACTAATACAATTCATTGCATATGCAGAGACATAATTGAGTTTCGCTTATATTACGTGCTTTATTTTAAACAATGACAAATGATACAACACAACACATTTGTAACGTTGCACAAACATATTTACTGAGTCACAGTGACTTGAACTTCCTCCAAGTGCCTCTCATTTAAATAATTTTTGACTTTTATATTTGCATTGTCCCGGGTCATAATTTCTGATAACCCGTTCGTTTTCTACGAACAAGGGGGGGGGGGGCGCGTGCCCCCTCCCCCACCCCCGTCTGCTATAAATAGGAGACAGCACGGCCTCGGCCAAGGAGTCACGCGTAAACACACACACACGCAAAGTTTCCACGCGTCGTCGGAGCACAAACAGTCGCGGCTGTGTTAAAAGAGCGAAGAGAAATTTGTTGTTAAGCGTTTCCCACTGCTTTAAGCTCGTGGCCCCGCCGGCTCCACGCCTCTGAATTAATCGCTGTGTAAGTTAGCGGACCCCTCGCGCTCATGCCCTCGGGCAAGTGGTGAGAAAAAAAATTAACGTTTGTCAGAATGCATGAATTCACGTGATTGAACCGTGGTGGTGGTGGGTGGGTGGTTGGGTGGGTGCCCACAAAAACCTAAACATGACACGTCCGATTGGTAGGTTGGTGCCACGTCATTCCACAACAGGTATTCCAAAATGTTTGGGATTTATTTGAAAAAAAATTTGTTACATAAAAAAAAATTGTTGCACACGTCACTTAATTCCACAAGTGCATTTCTTTTTTCCTGAGATGCTGCTCGATCCGAGAAAGGTGGGCATATACGACTCGCTGCCACAGTGACGGCCACATCTAGATGTCGACTAGGTGTGAAATATTTTATGGGTCGCCGACCCGGCTGAAATAAATCCCTTGCCGGAGTTGTGGTCTCTCAACGTGGTGGAGGGGTGGGGGGTGCAAAATCTGTAGAGGGCAAATCCAACGAACCGATTTATTTATTTTTCCTTCCGTCGGCCAATGGGATTTTGGCGGAGGCGAGAGCCCGATTGACCAATGGCATTGGCTCGGCCCAGCTGTTAAAAGACTTGTTCGACACGGGCAGCAGCTGGCACATGACTCTCAAAGCCAAGAGCAACACGGACACAACGTTGTTTTGTGTGTGTGTGTGTGGGCGGTAGTGGGGAGTAGGGGGGGGATAGCGTTACATGTTCGCCGATCGACTGGGATTATTATTATTGTTTTTTATATGAAATTCGTTCGATCGACTAAGAAGAAGAAGAGCTGAATCGATGTCAGCTTGCGCGTATGAGCGTCGTCGAGTCGCCGTGCCCGGAGTGGCGTGCTTGGCATCGCACGGAGAGGTGAGGGCGCTGTTTGTGGTTCGTCACCGGCTGCTGTTGCTGTTCGCGAAAGGTCACGCCCAGTAGTCGATCTCGAAAATGTGACCAGTGGCCTTCAAAGGGCTGCTGTTGCTGCTGCGGCTGCTAATACGGCAGTGTCGTTGCGGTTATAATATTTTGTCAACGGATTTAATTCAAAACTCATTCGCCGTTTGTTTTTGGACGAATGTAATAATGGATTTTAAAAAAGCACGTGAACACGGACCAGAGTGGTGATGCATGGTTAAACCAGCCACCCGTGACCGACACGACATTGGGAGGTCGTCATCCACCAAGTGGATCGCCAAAGGGGACTGCAAATTAGGTTTATTTTCCGTGTATGTTAAAGAAAAGCTAACCAGTGGGTGGGTGCCTGCATTAAACGGAACCGAGATAACGTCCACGTTTAAACAGTGTACCTTCAAGGTCACTTATTTATTATCGCTACAATCAGCGGCAACGTTCAAAAGTAAATGCAACCGCGTGTTTATTAGGATTAAGAGTAATACGAACAATGTCCTTTATTTATCCAGGTAAGCCTCACCGAGCCTCAAGACTCGTTAGTCAGGAGGGTCCTGCTACGTTGGGATGTTTGGCCTATTACGTTAAATGAGACTTTGGCTTCGCGTGACATCAACCCAGAGAACCCGAGAGAGAATCCACACACATGATGGGATTAAACTCAGGAAAACAACTTCTGATTATGTTTCTAAACACTCAAAGGTATTTGTAGTAAATGAGAACTGCTGTGTTTTATACTGTACTATGTATTTGTCATATCAGAATGAGCGAACAATGTGTGTAGTTTATTTGGGTGACGTGCGTGCATGATTGTGTTACTGAAAGTTCGAGATCGACTTTTGTCCCAGTTTATTTTTATTTATCTTGTGAAGCTTCTTCTGACTTTGCGGCTCTTAACGCAATTCCATTCTTCGCTACCGAGGTGTTTCTGTGCTGCCCGTTCTCTGTTTGTACCCCAGGGCCTTCCGAGCAATAGACAGCTTCGTCCCAATGGGTTCTCAGTTATAATTTGTATTGCGTGATTACTCCGATTTGTTTACCCAAGAAAGCCGAGCCAAGTCTCATTACCCCAAGAGACTCACGCGTTCGTGTGTATGTCGGTCGGGCGTGATGTTGGCCACCCACCCCCTCGTGCGCCGTGCCGGCCTTCATGCGTGCTCGCTAAAAACACTTGTCCCAACAGCCTGTTCAGGCTATACGGGGGATCTTTGTCTTATAGCTAGCATCGTTTTAGCGCACCCCACCTGCTCGGCCGAGTCTACGTCTGACCACGGCTAACATCATTGGCGAATGATATCCGAACCGATCCTGGGTATCCCCCCACCCGCCACACACAGATGTCGCCAGTTCAATCTCTCCCGCTGTGGCAGTTGAAACACAGAGCCCTTCCACCGGCAGTTGCGCGAGCAATGCGTTTCAGGGCTGCGCCTTTACCTCCCCGTCCAATCGCTTTCGTCGACGGATCGTCGCAGCTGCGAATTAAACCTTTGCTTTCCGATCCTCCTCTGGAGGGGGCTTCTCTCCAGCGGGGAGGCCCTTCAGCCAGCAATGCAGCAGCGACGCGAGCAAGCACATTTCAGGGCTGCGCCTTCATCCCTTGCAGCTGGATTCCAACCCGGGGAGCTTTTCCCTGCACCCGGCGACCTCGGCGAGCCCGGACCCCGCGGAGCCTGACGCGGCACACCCGCGTCACGCGCTCTCCTCTCCACCCCCCTCCAACCACCAACGGCCCCCGCACGGCTCCCACGGCCGACCTCTGCCCTTCTGCTGCCCGCTGCCCTCGACTCCCCGCCACGTGCCGTACCCGCCGGACGCCCGTCACCTCCGCCCGGGGCAGCTGAGCCCAGCGGAGAGCGACGAAGTCCGTCTCTCGGCGTGGGGTCCGCTGGATGGAGGAGGCGGTGGCGGCGGCGGTGGCGGTGGTGCCGAGCGGTGTCACCTGGCCCCACCGCGTGGGCCGCTTCACGGAGACCTTTCGGGCTGGGCCGGGGTCTATGGGCAGCAGCAGCAGCACCACCATCAGCCTCCTCTGCTGCCCCATCCCCCGCCACCCCCTCCGCTGCCCTCCCTGGTGTCTGCGCTGCAAGCCGAGGGCCCTGCTGTGGCCGAGTGGCTCGCGATGGCCGCAGCGGTGGCGCACAGCCCCGGAGCTGCATCGGAGGCTGGGTCGAGCCATGACGGAGAGGTGATTTATTGATTGCTTTATTGATCAAGTAATTAATTAGTTGCTTAAATGATTGGTTTTACGATTGCCTGACCGGTTATTTAAATGGTCGATTGATTTTTCTGGTCTGATCAATTGGTTTGTTAGTTGATTGGTTCATCAAATAATTGGTTTATGGATTGATTAATTGGTTGATTAGTCGATTGAGGGGTTAATTTATTAGCTTGATTAATTGTTTGCTCGATTAGTCTACTGATTGAATGATGAACATTCATTCTAACGCTCACGCCACAATCAATTCACACGTCTAAGAATCGATTAGTGACAACGCATGCAAATGCGTCATTATATGCTCATGGAAATCGTACGGCTGACGGAACCGAGGGAGAGAGAGAGAGAACATAAAACACCGGAACGGGTGAGCCGGACAATCCAATGGGGCAGAGTTTTCCAAACTCCGGTCCTCACTACCCACGACCACCCCGTGTCCGTCTTTCCGCGCTTACCGAATTCCCTCTCCCCACCCAAATGCAGTGCAACTAAAACTCGTTCCACTCGGCGCGCGCACCGGATTATTGTTAAACACACGTCCCACGTGACGCGCTGAGCAATTAGCGCTGTCTGCGACAATCGAGCCGATTCAAATAAAGATTGAGATCCGGTGAGGTCACCCGACAACCTCGCTGCGAAAGTGTTTTGAGTTTAAGGTCACGGGCGAATAACGAGCCCTGCTGGAGCGGCGTGGGATAGGGCGCCACGGTGGCGAGGTTGAGGACGGTCTCGCCAGTAGCTCAGGACGTTGTAGGTTCGATCCCGGCACCCTGGCGCCTGTATATTTGCAGTTGGAATGTTCTACCCGTGGTCGCGTGGATTTTTTTTTCTCTGGGTCCTCCGGTTTTTCCATCCACATTTAGAATCAACGTGCGTTTAGAATGAGAATAGTTTTTTCTCCTTTTATCTGGCAACAGTTAAAATGAATCATGTTTGCATTATGACCATAATGCTTGTGGTCAAAATGCAAACAAAAAACATACTCTGATAATATAGGCATTGTCTTTGAACCTAATTGGTCCACACCAGAGACAGCTTTCTTTTGAGCCTCGTTTCAAACGGCGTTAGACCAGAGGACACCAAAAAGGCGTACAGCTCAAAGGCAATGCACTATCAGAGTAATGAGAGCTCGTGGTTGAGCACTACATCATGGGACCTTCTTTGCCGGTACCAAAATATGAGAATAGGTTTTTCCCCTTTTTGGCTGCTGTAGATTTCCACGCGATAAGCCACTTCGTTGGGCTTTCATTTGTGGCCAGGTGGCTTCTGAAAAAAAATATCTATATAGCTCAGTGGGCCTTACCTGGTAAAATATTGTTATTATTGTTTAAACGAGTTGCCCAATCTCACGAAATGTCATCGCTGATCGTGGTGCATGTTTGTCCAATGGGGAGAGGTAAGCGTGAGGATTGGCAATGAGTGTGGGGCGGTGCGCGGCAAGCTACATTGGCGGCCCTCCAATAGCAGCGTGGATATTCCACATTCCTGTGGCAGGGCGCCAGTTTATCTCGACAATTACTGTTGACTTCAAGCAAAGTGCTGCCACTCGTATGACCAAATCGCCGTAGAGCTGGCCCCATTTTGTGGGATCTCATAAGCTAAGCAGTTTTCAGCCTGGTTACTATGAGAAAACTAGCTCAGCAAAGCCACCAATGGATTGATTATGGGTCCCACGTGTAGCCTGTGGGTCCTGTGTTAATCGATGAGTCCCATGTGTGTCTATAGATACTATGTTAATCGATGAGGCTTATGGTTATATTTGGGTAATGTGTTATTAGGTGTATCTTATGTTAATGTATGGTACCTCTGTTAACCTAAATGGTCATGTGGGGCCGTCGATAAATGACGTCACGCGCCTAGGGGGGGGGGGGGGGGTCAGACATTTGTGACGATGTGTGACGAGGGGGGGGGGGGGTGAGAAATGTGACGTCACATCAAAATGGGCAACTTTAAATAAATAGACAACACGTTCTACTTAATTAAATAGACTTTTTAATAAATGTTTTCTCCCACAACATTAGAGTGCAGCGGCACATTAAATACGCACTACAATAGTTTAAAGCGACTTGAAACATGTTTTATTTATTTTTTGGGGGTGGAGAGCTTTGTGACGTCATATTTGAGGGGTGGGGTCTGACTTTTAGTGAAGCCGTGTGACGATGGGGGGGGGGGGGGTCAAAAATCGTCCAAAATCGCGTGACGTCATTTATGGATGACCCCAAATACATCTATGGATCTGATGTATGTTTATGGCTCCGATTTTATTATATGGGCCCTATTTTAGTATATGGGTCCTGTTCATGTCGATAAGTCCTTTGTTAGTATATGGGTCCTATGCATGTAAATACGTTATATGATCGTATATGGGTCCTGCGCATGTCAATGAATCCTACTTATGTTAGCAGTGCATATGGGTCGTGTGTATGTCTATAGGTACTGTGTTTTTTCAACTCACAGTTGCTGAGCACATGCTCAGCACTGTCAAAGTGGCGTTAGTACGTGTCTTACATTGAGCAAGGTCACAGGAACTTGGGAGAATAATAATAATAAATTACATTCATTTGACTGGTGCCTTCCACTAATGTCTCAAGGCATCTTGTAAGAACAAGAGAAGGTTAGAATGAATATAATAAACTCGCTTAAGAAAATGTGTTTCAAGACAAGACTTTAAAATATCCGCATTATCGATGGTGGGAAATGGTGGGGGGGGGGGGAGAGAACTGCAGCAACTTCAGAGGTTGGTGACTCATCCAGGGATGGGCACGGCGGTGACGGTGGCTCCTGCTCGCTCCGCTTGTCTCCACGTGCGCCAGATGATGATGGGTGACATCATGGACGACATCATGGGGCTCGAGTCGAGCTACAGCGACGAGGAGCTGGGCCGGGCGCATGCGGCCCTCGTCGCCGCCGGCACGGTAAGAGCGGCGCGGTCGTGGTGGTGGTGGTGGTGCCATTGGTGGTGGTGGTGGTGCCATTGGTGGTGGTGGTGGTGGTGCCATTGGTGGTGGTGGTGGTCGTGGTGCCATTGGTGGTGGTGGTGGTGGTGCCATTGGTGGTGGTGGTGGCGCCATTGGTGGTCGTGGTGTCATTGGTGGTCGTGGTGTAATTGGTGGTGGTGGTGCCATTGGTGGTCGTGGTGTCATTGGTGGTCTTGGTGTCATTGGTGGTGCTGGTGCCATTGGTGGTGGTCGTGGTGTCATTGGTGGTCTTGGTGTCATTGGTGGTGGTGGTGCCATTGGTGGTGGTCGTGGTGTCATTGGTGGTGGTGGTGGTGCCATTGGTGGTGGTGGTGGTGCCATTGGTGGTGGTGGTGGTCGTGGTGCCATTGGTGGTGGTGGTGGTGGTGCCATTGGTGGTGGTGGTGGCGCCATTGGTGGTCGTGGTGTCATTGGTGGTCGTGGTGTCATTGGTGGTGCTGGTGCCATTGGTGGTGGTCGTGGTGTCATTGGTGGTCGTGGTGTAATTGGTGGTGGTGGTGCCATTGGTGGTGGTGGTGGTGCCATTGGTGGTGGTGCCATTGGTGGTGGTGGTGGTGGTGCCATTGGTGGTGGTGGTGCCATTGGTGGTGGTGGTCGTGGTGCCATTGGTGGTGGTGGTGCCATTGGTGGTGGTGGTGGCGCCATTGGTGGTCGTGGTGTCATTGGTAGTGGTCTTGGTGTCATTGTTGGTGGTCGTGGTGTCATTGGTGGTGGTGGTGGTGTCATTGGTGGTGGTCGTGGTGCCGTTGGTGGTCGTGGTGCCATTGGTGGTGGTCGTGGCGCCGTTGGTGGTCGTGGTGTCATTGGTGGTGGTCGTGGTGTCATTGGTGGTCGTGGTGTAATTGGTGGTGGTGGTGTCATTGGTGGTGGTCGTGGTGCCATTGCTGGTCGTGGTGGTGACATTGGTGGTGGTGCCATTGGTGGTGGTCGTGGTGCCATTGGTGGTCGTGGTGTAATTGGTGGTGGTGGTGCCATTGGTGGTGGTCGTGGTGCCATTGGTGGTGGTGCCATTGGTGGTGGTGGTGCCATTGGTGGTGGTGGTCGTGGTGCCATTGGTGGTGGTGGTGCCATTGGTGGTGGTGGTGGCGCCATTGGTGGTCGTGGTGTCATTGGTAGTGGTCTTGGTGTCATTGTTGGTGGTCGTGGTGTCATTGGTGGTGGTGGTGGTGTCATTGGTGGTGGTCGTGGTGCCGTTGGTGGTCGTGGTGTCATTGGTGGTGGTCGTGGTGCCATTGGTGGTGGTCGTGGCGCCGTTGGTGGTCGTGGTGTCATTGGTGGTGGTCGTGGTGTCATTGGTGTTCGTGGTGTAATTGGTGGTGGTGGTGTCATTGGTGGTGGTCGTGGTGCCATTGCTGGTCGTGGTGGTGACATTGGTGGTGGTGGTGCCATTGGTGGTGGTCGTGGTGCCATTGGTGGTCGTGGTGTAATTGGTGGTGGTGGTGCCATTGGTGGTGGTCGTGGTGCCATTGCTGGTCGTGGTGGTGACATTGGTGGTGGTCGTGGTGCCTTTGGTGGTCGTGGTGGTGACATTGGTCGTGGTCGTGGTGCCTTTGGTGGTCGTGGTGGTGACATTGGTGGTGGTCGTGGTGCCTTTGGTGGTCGTGGTGGTGACATTGGTGGTCATGGTGTGTGGGGAGCGTTGTCGCAGTGGTTCGCGCGCTGCGCTTCGAACCCAGCGAGCCGAGATCGATTCCCGTTCACGGCCAACACGAGTGACGGTTATTTGAACCGGTCCTGGGTCTCCCCTAGGTCGACTCACCCTCAAATAAGTACCTGGTGTGGTGTGTAAAATTGCCTCTAGGGAGACAAAGGCGACCGGGCGTGATGGTGGCCACCCACCCCCTCGTGTACCGTGGCGGCCTTCATTGGTGCTCGCTAACAGCACTTGCCCTTAACTGTCTCTTAAAAGTTATTCGGGGGATCTTTGTCTTTGGTAACATTGGTGGTGGAGTCAGTGGTGGTAGCGGGGGTGGTGGTGGTGCTGATAGTGATGGTAGTGCCAGTTGGCACATTAGGGAGGCACAATTGGTGCATCTGTCAGTCATCTCAGTCAACCCATGACACCTGGGTCTGTGCCATGACCTCCTGTCAGCGAGCCTTCGACACTTCACGTGGCGCACCTGGCCTGGCACCTGGCCTGGCACAGGCGCAAATGTGTCGTCACCGCCACTTAGTAGCGAATGACAGATGATGTTGTTGTTGGTCGTGCCGGTAGTGGTGGTCGGTGGTGGTGACGGTGCCTGTGACGTGGTAGTGGCAGCTGTGGTGTCGGCGCCGGTGATGGATCTTGGATGTGGGATATATCTCTACACAAAAAATTCCTGAGTAAAAATTTGTTTTAAAGTTTGCTGTAATGTTTGCATATGTTTTAAGTGCTAGTGTATGATTCCCATATATCAGTATATGGGTGCTATATTCATTGACATCTAAGTCTGTATGCCAAGTACAAGTCTATTGGCCCTTTATAATTCTGTAAGTCCTGCTGTCAGGTCCTGTGGAAGTGTATGGGCTGTATGTCGGTCTATAGACATTACGTAATTATTTTAGCCTCTGGTCTCTGTGTAGGTCTATTAAGTGTATGTTAATCGATAGGTCCTGTAGGCCATATGTAAGTATATTGATCTATTGATCGTTTGTGTATATTTTCTATGTAAAGCTACAGTTCCTATTTAAGCCGATGGGTCCTACGGCAGTCTATGGGTTCATCTTCTTGGTTCTTTCGGTAAAGTCACGTAGAAGGGAAATAATAAAATAATAAAAAATAAATAATAATAAAATAATTCTCACGACGTTTTGGCCACAACGCAAGCAGCCGTCCTCAGGTGAAGAACAGGTCTGTCGCTGTCTTTCAGACAGAAGAACAGGTCTGTCTCTGTCTTTCAGACAGACCTGTTCTTCACCTGAGGACGGCTGCTTGCGTTGTGGCCGAAACGTCGTGATAATTATTTTATAATGTTTTATTTTTATTATTTTATTATTTCCCTTCTACGTGACTTTACCGAAAGAACCAAGAAGATGAATCCCTGCAGTCACGAAAGCTTTAAATCGAAATTTAAAAGTCTATGGGTTCTATACAAAGCTGCAGTTGCTGTGTTCGTCTGTGGGTCCTACAGTCGTCTGTTGATGCTGTGTTAGTCTATGAGTTTTATTATTAAGCTGCAGGTGCTGCGTTAGTCTTCAGGCTAACAGAGGCCGGCGTCTGCCCTGTGCGCCACCCTCTGCTGCCCGCATGCAGGTGACACCGCGGGGCCGAGCGGGTGGCTTCAGGGGCCACCACGCGGCACTGGGACAGATGCACACGCTGCCACCCATGGCCTGCGGCGACTCCATCAAGGTGGAGATCACGGGTGAGCACGGCCCGTCGTGTGAGATCGATCGCCCGTTTAGGATGCGACGAGAAGGAGAAGCCTGGGAACCGCTGCACTTTGCGAGGGTTTGACCGGCCGCCGTTCACTTGCAATGAGGTCTGATAACACTGGTCAACACATTTTTTCTGGCATAAGGTATTCCAACGGGTTTAAGGTAATTTTGGGGTGCTGATTCCAAATCTGGCATCAGTTTTTGTCTATTACGTCAGGTTTTTGAGATATCAAATATTGCATTTTCAATAAAAAACTGCAGAAGAAAAATATTAAATAAATGTGAATATCTACATAAAATTATATTATAAACACACTATCCTAAAATACAGCACCATATTTTAACACTAAAGCAGTCACTGACTCGCAACAACTTGCAATCCTAAGTGACAGAGTTAATTTCGGGTAAAATCAATGAAAATGGGGTATGCCGATAGCATAAAAATGAGATGTGATAGAGCAAATCTAAGATCAGATTTGGAATCAGCACCCTGAAATTAGTCTAAAACAGCTGCAATTAACCATTCCGTCATTCCGACGATGTATGTGTATGTCATCAAAACTAAACCGGAAGAAAAACTGAAATAAAATCACTTCACCGGTACCGAGGCTCCCACAAGGCCATGCAGGAGGGCGTGTGGCACAGTTTGGCGCCAGCTATCAGTGAGTGCGGCGGTCGTGTCGCGACAGTTCTCTGCGGTGAGTAGAGTGTCTTTAAAAGCAACGGCGCTACGCCTCTCTAAATAAAATTAACGATGAGCCGCGTACGCGTTCAGCGGTGAACGGGGACCCACCCTGTAACTTACAGACGACTCGGAAACGGGAAAGGGTTCATTGAGGTGACTCGGTCGCTCAGAGGTCAGAAAGTGCCTTGCTGGCACCGCTGAGATCCCGGTGTTGAATCTTGGCTTCAGTCGCCTGCGTAGTCCACTCAGTCCCCAATGATTGTAAACATTTTCAATTGCTTGAGGTTTTGTTGCTCTGTGCTGACGACGGCGTTGGTCGTGATTTCTCACTCAACCGTGTGGGCCGCGCGAAGGCCGTTGCCATTTCGTACTCCCTGAAATTTTTTATTTCACTCAAATGAATTTGTCTACGTTTTTTTGACTCCCAGCACACCCTCAGATTAGCACAGTGTGCTACGTGCGGTGCAAAAGCAGTTCAACATGCGTGCGTACATAAGCGCTCAGGGTGGTCACCAATGAGTGAGCGAAAAAAAAACCCCCCATCGCATTAAGCTTGGTTCGTCGCTAAATTCGGATAAATTCCAACCCATCAAGCGACTTTGGAGCTCATCGCCGACCCCACGAATGTGACCTTAGCCCTCTGGCCTAATCGGACTTTCGCAAGATACATTTAACCACGTGTGCTTCCAAGACTCATTTCCATAATCGCTGCGTTTAAGATATGATGAAATCGGCGGCAAAATCGGCCCGTCGGGGACGCGGCAGATAACAACAAAGCAGAGGCCGTTGTAAATCGCTGCTGCCCCCTTTTTTTTTAGCCGTCGCTCCTGCGCTCCGCACCCAGCCGAATCAGTGGCGCTTTCAAACCGCTTCCCAAAATATTGTCTCGGCTACGCCCGTCGGTTTAGCCCGTCGGTTTAGCCTCGCTCCCAAAATGAAAGAAACAGGAGGGCGGCCGTAATAATATGCATAACCCGTACAGCCTGGTGGGCGATCGGGAGAATCATCACATCTCCTCTTAGACACGTGATGTCAAATCAATTAGTCACGTGGCAGAAGTGCGTGCACGTGTGTGTAGAATGTGTTGTGTTTTTATTTGGGAACAGTAGTGTAGTGGTTAGTGCGCTGCGCTATGAACCTTGTGAACCCGAGTTTGATTCCCGCTCAAATTCAACACCAGCGATGATTATCTGAACCGGTCCTGGGCCTCCCCTAGGTCGAATCAGCCTCAAATGAGTACCTGGTGCCTATATGTATTGCTCCACCATGCTCTGAAGTGAGCAGTGGCTCCATCGCGGCAGCTGCGTTGGGTTACAGCTGCGTTTGACTTTCAACAAACTGTTGCTCATTTTGTTAATCACAGAGGGATGATGGGCCGAGTGCTCTGAGCCTGGCCACCTGATTTTGATTCCGGGCCGTGGCTTACACATCAGCGGCGAGTGATGCCTGAACCAGTCCTGACCTCCCCACCACATTCAATCCACACTGACCAGCATGGCGAAGTATGGTCAAACAATCTCCGTGGTGGCGTGGGGCGGTCTTCATCTCGCAGTGGATTGACAAAGGATGGTGAAATGGGTGCCACGGTGGCGAGATGTTAACTTCCTCGACTTGTATCCAGGAGATCGTGGGTTCAATTCCAACCGTGACACCTGTATATTCAGTGTTTTCATGTACTCTGAACACGTGTTCAGTGTATTTGCTTGTTATAAATTTCCACAAGATCAGCCACTTCATTGAACTAATCATTTGTGAGCTACATAGCTCAGTAGGCCTTAGCTGGTAAATTAAAAACAGTTTAGTTGTAGCCGCGCTGCTTCCACCAGCTCTCGCGAGATGTTAACTGCTTCACCTTGTATACAGGAGGTCGTGGGTTTGATTCCGACTTTGATAGCTGCTGTATATTTGGAGTTTGCATGTTCTCCCCATGGTCGCGTGCGTTTTGCTCCGGGTCCTTGAGTTTTTCCCTCCACATTCAAAATCAACGTGCACTGAGCTGTCATTTGTGACAAGCTCGCTTCTGAAAAAGAGCTATATAGCTCAGTGGGCCTTACTTGATAAACAGAACGTTTAGTTTAGTTTTAATTGTTATAATCAGTGATGACAATACATCAGTACATTTTGATTTAAAGCTTTCGTGACTGCAGGGATTCATATTCTTGGTTCTTTCGGTAAAGTCACGTAGAAGGGAAATAATAAAATAAAAAAATAAAAAACAATTAAATTTTCTTGCTGTGGATTTCACACCTGATGATGATTGCTTGTGTTTCAGTCGAAACGTCGTGATAATTGTATTGTTTTATAATTTTATAATTTCCCTTCTACGTGACTTTACCGAAAGAACCAATAATATTAATACATCAGTAATTATAATCTGGGATTGGTGATGATGCAGTGGTTGGCATATTGCACTATGAACCCCATGACCGGAGTTCCCCTTCACCGACCTATGCCGACCAGTCAGGTGAAGTATGACGTTTAAATTAAACCACAACACTGCCATTGTAGAGCTCGCCCTCAGTCGAGGCTCTTGTGGAAGCGGTGGCGTTCGCTAGTAATTGCAGGGCTGCTCCTTTACCCCTTTACAAATCATACATTTATTCGAAATGTTTTTTTTTAAAATCAGAATTGCAACGATTGCATTTTTTTTTCAAAAGATGTTTGTTTTCATCGTCGTCTTTGTCGTCACGACATCCTCGTCATATTACGACTAATGACGAACTGAATGATGTTTCATCTTCTTGGTTCTTTCGGTAAAGTCACGTAGAATGGAAATAATAAAATAAGAAAAATAAAACATAATTAAATAATATAGTATAATATAATAAAATAATATAATAAAATAATAAAATAGGGTTATGGTTAGGTCCATTCTACGTGACTTTACCAAAAGAACCAAGAAGATGAATCCCTGCAGTCACGAAAGCTTTAAATCGAAATTTGAATTATGTTTATTGGTCATTCCGCCGTAGGGCGGCATGGCGGGTGCAGTGGTAACGCTCGTGGCAATAAAGGGTCCATATTCTTAGGTTTTTTTTCGGTAAAGTCACGTAGGTATAGCTGTATACTCCGGCGCCTTTCTAACCGGAGTTTCTACGTTCTCCCATGGTTCTGTATGGGTTTCCTCCGTGTTCTCTGCTTTCCTCCCATATAGCTTGACAAAACAGTGACAATTGTAACCGCTGTTGGTGACAAAACATCCCAAGGTTGAAAAATTACCTGGGATTACGCGCAGCAGCGGTAGCAGCATCATCAGCCACCTCCTTGCGAAAAACCTGGCAGGACCCTTCCTGATTAAACGAGCGTAAAACATTATAACAGGACCGCTTATAAATCAGGAACTAAAATTGGCACCGGGGTGAGCTCCCGGGTCCACGAAGGCAGTTCACAAGAAATAAACGGTTCAAGTGCCAAACGTCAATCTGGCTGTTTACCCACTTGCTGACAAACACAATCATCGCAGCACACACAGCCACGCCGTTTTCCTCGAGGCACGCCGTGACACGGTGTGACACGCTGTCAAGTAACGAGCGTCGGTCCCCCTGATTTACCGGCAGCGGAAATTAAATTGTGCTGGCTTGGATGGATCGCTGCATTTTGCGATTGCGAGAGCTGGTGGCAGCAGTCCGTATAAAACTAAACAATTTGTTTTATTTTACTATGTAAGGCCTACTGAGCTATGTAGTGACATGGCCATCACAAATGATTAGCTCAGTGAAGTGGCTGATCATGTGGAAATTTATAGCAAGCAAATACACTGAACACATATTCAGAGTACAAGCAAACTCCGAATATACAGATGTCAGGGTTGGAATTAAACCCACGATCTCCTCTATACCAGGCAAGGTAGTTAACATTTCTCCACCGTGGCACCGGATTTGGGAGGCCTTCATCTGGCAATGGATTGACCATGGCTGATGACGATGATGGTGATGATGATGAAAATGACAAACTGCCAACGTTCCATTGTTAAAACATTAAATCGTGTTTTTTTCTAGAGTTGGAGGCTCGCGCGCTGGTGAAGGAGAGGAGGAAAAAGGAGAGCCACAACCTCAGTGAGTTTTATTCGTGGAAATCAGAGAAGTGAACAGCTGATGAGGATTGCGATCTATGTTCAAGGCCCAGGAACTGGGTCCTCCGGGTTTTTCTCCACATGTATAAACGTGCTTTTGGAGCATTTGGCTGCTCCTAAAAATTACCACGCGATAAGCCACTTAATGGGGCTATCATTAGTGGCCAGGTCGCTTCTGAAAAAAAGCTGTATACCTAAGTGGGCCTTAACTGGTAACATAAAATATGTTTTAGAGTTTAGTTTTATCTTAAGATCTTCGTTGTATAACATCTGTGCCGTCGCAAGACGCCCATGAAGCAGAGCTTATCAGCTCACTTGGCCCTTGCTTTGAAAATAAATAAAACCTCTGGAGGAGACCTCTGGAGCTCCCACTGTGGAGCAGAGGTTGCAAACGGGTTTTGATTCCTTACCCATACCCGTACCCGGCTGCACCCGTACCCTACCCGAAATGAATGACAAACGGCTACTAACCAGTGACTCACGGCCTACCCGTACCCATACCCGGCCGAACCAGGGTCGCAAACGGCTACCCGTACCCATACCCGGTCGGGTACGAGTAGCCGGGTATCGGGTAGGGTACGGGTATCGGGTACCCGGTTGCGACCTCTGCTGTGGAGGCCTTCGTGCCAGCAGCGGCGTGATCAAGGAATTGCCGGGCCGCACCCTTCACCGTGTTTTTCTTCCCACCAGTCGAACGGCGACGAAGGTTCAACATCAACGATCGTATCAAGGAGCTGGGAGCCCTGATCACCAAGTCGAGTGATCCGTGAGTGCCACGCTCTTTCACTGCGCTCACAAAGACAAAGATCCCCCGTATAGCCTTAACAGACTGTTGGGGCAAGTGCTGTTAGCGAGCAGCATCTATGAAGGCCGGCACGGCACATGAGGAGGTGGGTGGCCAACACCACCCCCGGCTGTCGTTGTCTCCCCAATGGCGATGTTTACACACCGCGCTAATTTGAGGCTGAGTCAACCCAGAGGAGGCCCAGGACCGGTTCAGATAATCGTCATTGGTGTATATGCCGTGAGCAGGAATCGAACTTGGGTTCGTAGTGCAGCGCGCTAACCGCTGCACCACCGCTCCCGACGATCTTTTACTGTGCTCACTCCCCCTGCACTTTGAGCAGTCCCCCTCCTTAGCCTCCATCCGTACCGCTCCCAAAGCCTCACCTCTTCTCCATTGCTCATTCTCTTCCCCTTCCCTCCACTCGCCCCTCCACTCCTTCCCAACCCTCCGCTACCCTTTCGTGACCTCCACGTGCCCTCTGCTGCGGTCACTCATTCATCACCCCTTGCACGCCCCTGCCATCTAAATCATTCTCGATTTTGTCACTGGTTTTTTTTAAACTACGTGAAGTGGCTTGAGTGAAGGCGCTCTATAAATATGAAGTGAGGTAAAGGTGGCTCCACACTATCACTTTAACATTAGGCAAATTAAACATCGTCATTGTCACGCCCGTAATCATCATCAACACTCATGTTCAATCCACTGCTGGATGAAGGCCTCCCACCCCTCGCGACCCAGCGATGAAGTGATCCACCCGGCACCTACCAGCCCACGAGGTGATTTCATTGCTTCATCTCCCTGGTGGACACCTGCTTTGAACTGCAAAAACCATGGCAACAATTGGGGAACGTGCCACCACGAAACAATGTTAATCCTTTCCCAGCACCAGAAGAAAGACTCAACTTTATCGGTATCGCGGCTCTCACAAGGCCATGCGGGAGGGCGTGTGGCTCTCATAGAGTGCGGTTTGGTCGCTACAGTTCTTTCCAGTGAATACAACGTCTTTAATAACAATGGCGCTAGGCCTCTCTAAATAAAATGAATGGTGAGCCGCTTGTGGGTTCAGAGATTCAGCGGTGAATGGAACCCACCTTGCAACTTGCAGTCTCGGAACGGGAAAGGGTTTAGATGAAAAAAAGAAATGTAGCAGGAACTTCCTGAAAAAAAGTCCACAGACTCGATGTGGTTTTTCGTGGATAAAGAAGCGAATATATTTGTTATTAGTTTATTCGTCACCGCAAGCATCTTAGCAGTGGCTGATGGGGTACTAGAGGGCTACAATGCTCACCTGGTAAAACTGCGTGTCTGATTTTAGCACCGTGCTCGGTCGCTTCCTGTCACTACAAGGACCATCTCACAGTGATAGCAGCGATTGGAGTGTGTGTGGTGTGCGTCCTTGACCCTCGGTCAGGAAAACACTCCCCGCCCTGTCAGTTTAAAATCCGCAAGACACAGCCCACACTTATCCGTCTCTGTCTCCCCATCTCTCGGTTTCCTTTTGGCCGGCAAGGGTTCATGACCGACACGACAGCTCCAGTATTTTGTCTGCGCGTGCCAGAGGAGTCGGCATGGGGTTACATTGTGGGGGGGGGGGGGGGGGGGTTGCACTTTGCTGCGGCCGTACTAGTCGGCGCATACTTCACATGTTGTTACATTTAAAAAAAGAAAAAAACGTGACCAAAATAGATTTGTAAATAAGGTGTGATGAGACCGTGACCGCCCGCGTATGGCGCTGCGCTGAAGTATATCACACGTCACATTTTTGCGAGGCGTCGGATTGCCTCCGCGTCCTGCGTGGGCCCTCCTCTGCAAACACCGGCGCTCATCCCTCTGCAGCCGCTCGGAGAATCGTGGCTCCAACCACTCGGTGCGTGGAAGGGCCCATCGGCTCACTACATTTGAGAGCCCACTGTAAGCACGGGCGGTTGAGAACCGAATTCGAACTTTAGGAACTCAGCGGGCAATTCTTTATCCCCCTTTGTTTCGTCTCATCGGCGAGGGAGAATGCGAGCGGTGGCCAGCGCTGTTGGGTCTGGGTGGAAGGCGCAGCCCTGCAATGGGCTCGATCGCTCCACTGCTGGCAGAAGGGTCTCCACTTGCAGGGAGCTCTAGAGACCCCCCCCGCCCCCCTCTCATGACAAGGTGTTTTGGGCCTTGACACTTCTAAGCCATGGAACGTCTTGGAACGCGCTTTCTGCAGGAGTTAGCGTGGACGTTTAAATATAATCCATATCGTTCATGCTCCTGCGATTAGTGTTCATGTCTCTGTTGAGGGTAGAATTCTGAGATGGCCAGGAGGGTCGAGGGGTTTCATAATTGTTGTCAGAGGCTTTGAGCTGGCACTGCGTACATCCTAAGTGCAAATCTTGGTTTTCAGCTGCGACATTCAACTGGGATTTCGAATTTAGTAAATGGTCACCAATCACTGCACAGCAATCTTCCTACTTGATACTGTCTTTCATCTACGAAGCCACAAGTCCCATTTCTGCATGGGGGTCGGCTGCTCGGATTTCTTTCTCCATGTGCTACTATTCCGTGATTTGTTTCTTAACTCAATCTCTCTCCTTGCGTAGAGACCCATAGATGCCTATACACTTACACGATCCATAAGCAACCTCTAAACTCATATACACTTGCATGATCCATGGATGTACATGAGACCCATCGAGTCATATACACTTATATGATCCATAGGCTTACATGGAGACCCAGACTCATATGCGCTTACATGATCCACAGACTTACATCGAGATCCGTAAACTCATATACACTTTAATTATCCATAGGCTTACATAGCGACCCACAGACTGTACTGTACACTTGCTGTACACTTACATGATACATGGAAGTACGTAGAGGCCCATTGTGAAGAACAAAAAAATGTACGCTCGCTCGCGACACCGTTTGAATGTCTCTTGTGGCCACCCGCCCTAACCTCCTACCCGCCCCCATCCACCCACTCGCCGGGCCACAGGGACATCCGCTGGAACAAGGGCACCATCCTGAAGGCGTCGGTAGACTACATCCGCCGCCTGCAGCGCGACCAGCAGCGCTCGCGCGACATGGAGACGCGGCAGCGGCTGCTGGAGGAAGCCAATGCCATCCTGGGCCTGCGCATACAGGTTCGGCGCTACAGGTGCCAGCGTTCGAAGGGGGGGTGGGGGGGGGGCTTTGGTGGGATCCACTTGGTGGGCCTTTCCTGGTGGGTCCTAACCGGGTGGGCCCGAACCCGGTGGGCCCTACCCGGTGTGCCCTATCCGGTCGTCTATACCTGGTGGGCCCTATCCTGGTGGGCCGTACCTGCTGGCCATTATCCTGGTGGGCTCTACCTGGTTCGCTCTACCCGGTGGACCCTAACCCTGTGTGCCCTATCCTGGTGGGTTCTACCGGGTTGGCCCTACCTGGTCGGCCCTACCTGGTGGGCCCTACCGGACGACAGTGACTGTGCTTTGCCAGCAGAAGTTACTGACTGGGGTTGTACTCAGCGTGTTCTCAATTGGTTTGAGGAAATCGACCACCTCCTGCCTTACCTGTCAGCCTTCCTACAAGCGTGCATGCCTACTTACCTTCATGACTGCCAGTCTGCTTGCTGGTCTGCTTCCCTACCTAACTATCTATCACAACCGACTATGTACATACCTATCTGAATGCTTTTCTATCTGCCTGCCTTCCAGTTGACAAAAAAATTCATAAAATTGTACGTTAGTTTGCTCACTTTTTATTTTACTTTTCTTGTTACCACATTCTCTAGATTTTGGGGGGTTTGTATTAAAGTGTGAGGTGTGTGGCTGGGATACCAAATGTGCAGAGCTTTATTGACACTGGGCACACGTTTGGGGTGCATCTCATTTCCCAGAGCATCTTATAATCCAAAGCATTTGGTATTTGATAGTTACATTTTGACATGCAATTTTATTGAGGGATTGTGTGCTGTCTTGGTGTGGTCTGGGACTGTTGTTTTTGTTTTGCTGCCTTGCCCAAGATTGCATTTGGTATTCAACAATCTACAGGAATTTATGTCCTAATGCAATTTGTACTTACATTATTTATTTTCATTCATATTTCGTGACTTTCTTAGCTTTACTATACTTTGCACTCCTATCGGTTTTTGTATTGGACATCTGTGAAAAATATCTTCACAGTTCATCGGATTCTTCCAGTCTAAACAAAGATTCTCATTGTAATTTATACATTTTCTTTGCTCCCAGGAACTTGAGAGGCAGGCCCAAGCCAGCGGCCTGCCACTTGTCTTCTCTTCCAGCGTGGAAGAGGAAGAGCAGCCAGGCTGGCTGGCCAGGCGAGGCTCAGGCACCGAGGTGGAACAGGCCGAGCCGCTGAGTCCCACGGCGACGGTTTCCAACGGCGGTGGCCATTGCCTGTCAGACAGGAGGCAATGGCCCCACGTGGGCGCCTCCTCGTGCTGTTACGCAAGTCCGTTCAAGCGCAGCTTTGATAGTGGCGGATTATCTGCAGAGGGCAGTCTATCCCCATCGTAAACAAAAAAATGTGTTTGAAGCGTCGCCCGGAACAGGCGCCCGATCTCGTCGCATCTCACAAGCTAAAGCAGGCTCGAGCCTGGATAGCTATTACTTCGTGGTGTCTGGACACAGACCCAAAGGGCCCAGACGCATTGCGGTCAGCAACAAACGGCAACCATTAGAATTGTAGTCGACGAATCATAATACGTTTTTTGTAGTTGAGCAAGGGGAGGGGAGGAGGGAATTTCAAATGCAAGCGGTGCGATTGAAGACTCAGAAAGAGATGCGGTGTGACCTTGTGTGGTGTTGTTAGTGGCCGAGCGAGTGGGAGAGCGAGCGAGTGGGGAGAGCGAGCGAGTGGGGAGAGCGAGCGAGTGGGTGGCTGTGTAAGTGAGCGAGTTGTTGTGACGGGTGAGACGAAACAGTCTGGTGGCAGAGCGAGTCCTCAATGCGGGCGGGGGAATCAAAGAGTGGAGTTCACGGGAACAGTAAATTATGGTGGTAGCGATAGAAGAATGATTGTATGGGGGGAGACCATGAGGGTTGCCACCTCTGAGATATAAAAGAAAACAGGGGACATAGCATGGGAAAATGACTATCTCGCAATACTGGAAGAGGGGAGAACTCCAAACAAATGCATTGCCTTGAGTTGTGTATTATTATGTAAGTAGTAAAATGACCTGTGATTGTTAATATCCTGCGAAGACTCACGGGGCAGCATCTGACTAACGAAGGGGACGATGCTGGGGAAACCCGGACAGATGGAGATCATAGTGGACACCACACAAAGCCAGGCAGCCGCGCCGCGCTTCCCGATGGGCAGTGCGGCATAATACATTGTTGTACTCTACTGTCTATGTTCCCATCTTCTACGCTCCCCACCTTCACCAAATTAAACCCCCACGACCCGCGTGGCGCGGGGAGGCCCTCGTCTAGCTGTGGATTGCCAAAAAGGGGGCTGTGCATTTCGACTTAAAACTTTCGCGACTGCAGGAATTCATATTCTTGGTTCTTTCGGTAAAGTCACGTAGGGGCTGTGCATGTTCATAATTTCACAGGGTTGCCGCTTGTGCATGATTCGTATGGACAGAACTAACGGGAGGCATGGCGGTGCAGTAGTAACACATGTGACCCACGAAGGGGCCCCGAGTTCGATTCTGGGACTTTCTGAGTGGAGTTGATATGTTCTCCCCCTGTTTTGCATCGGTTTCCTCTGGGTTCTCAGGTTGCCCATCGCAAAAAAATAAGATCCATACAATGTAACCAGCATTGGCCAAACATCGCAATGCTGATTTTTTTTTTACCTGCAAACGACTCAATCGGGATTACACACAGAGTAGCAGCAGCAGCAGCAGCAACAACATTGCCCTCCTCCTGTGAAAACGTGGCAGGACCCTCCTGAAGACGAGTTGAAACTCGTTGAGTGATGCTTTTCCTGGGTAAACAAGCATAGATAGTAATAATAACGACGTGTGCCATAAGATGGGTCTCCAGAGCAATATTTGTACTCGTTTTGACCATTGAAATAGCTCGGCGTGATTTGACACCGGTTTGTTTGCCAGGATATATCGTGCCTTTGAAGTACACGTCGTAACAATACTTTCATGCCTCATATCGCTGCCCATGTGTTGATGAACTCAAATGTGGCAACGCTCTTCTAACTCGCGGGCGAGTAACCGGCGGCTTGCGATCGGAAGTTCCACTGGTGTTGAACTGACTCAGCCCATCATCCCTCCGGGGCTCCATAAAATAATGACCACGTTGTGGGGAAGCCGACAGTGGTTGTCCAATGGATAGACCCGCCCCTGACATAGGAACGCGGAATTTCCATCACCGGCTCGGGACTGTAAATAGGAGATGAGCATGGGGTCAATGCCCTTTCAATGCAGCGAGTCGCTCTGACATTGTTATTATTCTGTAGCGAAGCGTTGATTGACGGCTCACAACCGTGCAAGACGTCGATTATTTGCGGATTGTGCAAACGATGTGCTCACGTGACATTTAAAGGTTAACGGGCGGAAACCAAACCGCGCAGAGGAGTAACTTATAATACTAATAAAGCGACAAGCTTGCAAATCGGATTAAAATATATATATAAAATCGATTCTTTAATCGAATCGTGATCTCGAATTGTGATGATTAATCAATCCCCTGGGGGGCAGGGGATGGAGGTAGGGGGTGGGGGGCGTGGGTGAGCGGTGGCGTTATGCTCATAGTGTTTAGTTGTTTACAACGCCATTATTATTGCTGTCGTTATTTTCGGGGGGTTTGCTGTAATGTTTTACTGGTAATTTGGGCAGCTCATTACTATTATCACTATGCCTGTTCTCAAAAGTCCTGCTGCAACGAGTTCGAGCTGACGTGCCTTGTTTTCTACTGAATCAGAACTTTAAGACGTTCGTAAACGTCTGGCAGTCATTGTTGTGCATAATTACTAGCGACGCGTAACGCAACAACGCGACCCCTCTATTTCCGCAAAATTTGTTACGGATATTAGGAAGAACGATTTTTTTTATTTTAAACTAACCAGCTCCTTTCTCAATCCGCTGCTGGACCCAAAGCCATGCCATGTCGGTCGTTGAAGGCTGTGTGACCGTACTTCACCAGCCTGAGGGCCAGGATCAGATCGGATATCACTCATCCTCCTGTTGATGTCGAGCGACAGCTGTGATATTCACATCGAGGTGTGTGCTTCATGAGCCGGATGATTGCGTCAGGAGTCGCGGAGCGGTGCAGCGTCGCTGCGATGGTGACGATGCCGACCCTTCGTCTTTGTGAATCGAGGGCACCGAGTTTGCGTTCCACGGTTCTCTTCTGGGTGGCAATCACGGTCGCACCGCACTCTGCGGAAGAGAGTTATTGATTTTCAACGTGTGAATTGTCATCATCGTCACCGGGTATCCGCGTCCGTTGCCGCCACCATGGTTTTGTCGGGCTTTTTGATGTTAGCCGTGGTGAGGAATCTAAGAACTCAGGTGGAGTGTTGGGGCCAACCCCTGCCGCTACCACTCCATCCAGGATGAAGTTGCCCGATGGATGATGAGAGGACCCTTCATAGATAGATTCTGGTAATAGGTTTTCACTCTTTCAACTGGTACAAAAACTGACACCTTTATACAAGGCATCATGTTTGCAATAACCACAACACAAGCAGTCAAAATGCAAACAAAAAGAAACAACTCTGATGATGATAATGATATGCACTGTCCTTGCAGTTGCATATCATTATCATCATCAGAGTTGTTTCTTTCTGATGATGATAATGATATGCACTGTCCTTGCAGTTGCATATCATTATCATCATCAGAGTTGTTTCTTTTTGTTTGCATTTTGACTGCTTGTGTTGTGGTTATTGCAAACATGATGCCTTGTATAAAGGTGTCAGTTTTTGTACCAGTTGAAAGGGTAAAAACCTATTACTATATTTTGCCACTGGTAAAGGAGGTCTCATAGATAGATTCTGGTTGTGGATATACAGAGATTGCAGATGTAAGATGAGTCTGGATGAGAGGGTTTCACCGCAAGTTATTTCTGACATTGCTAGTGCTTATGCGGAGTGGTGGCGCAATGGTTAGCGTACTTCACTTTGAGCCTGCCGACCCGAGTTCAGTTCCCGGCCACGGCTATCACAAGCGGGGAGTGCTATCTGAACCGGTCCTGGAACTTCCCCTCCTTCGCCAACCCGCACTGACCAGCGCGGTGAAGTATGGTCAAACAAGACCACCCCCTTCTCCGATGACCGACACGGCGCGGAGAGGCCTTCATCCAGCAGTGGATCGTTGACAAAGGCCCGAACGTTATTACTGTTACTACTGCTCGCGAAAGTAAATGCCATTTTATAATGCTTCGATTAATTAGCGTGATACGTTTTATATGCGAATCTACTACTGGATATTTGTTTTTTTTTATAATATTGTAATACTGTTTGTGTGATATTTCATACGGTGTAAAAAACTACCCTGTAAATATTACTCTTTCGGTTTAGGCTGAACCACTATTTTGCTTCTCTTAGATACAATAAAACAATTAATGCTTCCTTTTCCAGGCTCAAATAAAAGTTTTTTTGTATGCATGGATTGATTGTAGTGTTTGTTGTTGTGTCTATGGGACCCGTTTTTTTTGCCAGTATCAAGATGATGATATCAAGAACAGGGTTCACCCTCAGCTGTTAAGATGCTCAAACACCAAAATAGACACACCTACTGCAAGGCATCACGTCTGCATTTTCCTTGATCACCAAAAGCTTTTAATGGTTTTTGATATTTACATTGTTTCTGTGCCACTCGGCTCTTGGCATCGTTCTCTGGTCTTACACTGGTGTCGGGACGATGTCTCTGGCGTAGGCCAATCAGTTTTGAGGACTATGCGGACATTATCATCAAAGCACGCCTTGCATGTGTTACCACAAGCTTGTGTGGTTCGTGCAGACTTGATGCCTTGCAATAGGCGTGTCTATGTGGTGTTTGAACATCTTGTATTATTGCGGGAAAGGCTAATGTTTATTGTTTTTTCACCATGTTATTTAGCGAATTTTTATTATTTTACCGCTAATTAATCAAATCATCGACCATTATTTATTTTTGAGCTCACAACACGTGCACCGAATCGCCGTGAGAACCGATGTTGTTTTTGTTTCTTTGCCATCGATGGATTCGCGTGCTCTTCAATGCGAGGCCCGCGGGTCACTGGCGGCCCCTGGCGGCCTTCAGTGCGGCCTCGTGACAACTCAGACGGTGAAGACACTCCTCCCCGCTCCAATGAGAAGTCCCACTGGTGTTGAACTGACTCAGCCCATCATCCCTCCTAGGCGGGGGGGGGGGGGGTCGATAAAATTAATACCACGTCGTGGGGAAATTCCACAGTGGCTTTCCAATGAGATAGACTCGTCCCCGACATAGGAACGTGGAATTCCCATCACCGGCTCAGGACTGTAAACAGGAGCATGGCGTTAATGCGCATTCGGGGCAGCGAATCGCTTTGATATCTTTATACTGGTAGTAACCTGGTTACACCAGCCCATAGGGGATTATTCTGTCCGTCGTGCATCTAAAAATGGGAGGGGTGGGGCTGGGTGGAGAGGGGAGGGTGGGGAGGGGCTGGGTGGGGAGGGGAGGGTGGGGAGGGGCTGGGTGGGGAGGGTGGGGAGGGTGGGGCTGGGTGGGAGGGGTGGGGCTGCGTGGGGAGGGGCTGGTCATCCCGTGGTGCCCTTATAAAACTCAACGTTTAACCTACTCACGCCGGCTTGTGCCTGGCCTCATAGTCGGGCATATTTGCGGAATACACCACGCCACCGTTGACCCTGGCCATTGACCGAGCAACCCAACGTTCCTACCAGCTCCCTCCGCAGGAATGTGTTTATTATTATTATCCTGTAGCGATGCGTTGATTGACGGCTCAAAATCGATTATCGCGAACCGATCGTGCTGTCACAAACCTCCAATGGTTACAAATGTGTAGCGGACCTCACACTGGCGATGTCTCATCAGCGAAAGTGCAACCCCTCCCACCCCCCACCGATGAAAATGAGTGAAGAACACTGGTGGATGCCACGAACGTTGCGGTTTTACAGGTTTGCATTACCCCCTACAGCCACTGGAGGCGCTACCATTCACCATTCGTGGGATCGTTATCGCTGGGGGCTGGCGAGGTCTCGTCTCAATATCGTTCGTTGTTTGCCACGGTTTACGAGTGTTGCTCATCGTACGCGGTGTTCTATTGTTCACTGCGCGTGTCGTCTATGTTGCACGCTTTAGCCAGAGTTGCCCATTGTGTGCCTGCGTCAAGGTCATGACCCAGCGGGTAGCCCGCCCCTTCACCCACCCGTCCAGACAGAGCCGGCCCAGCCACTAGCGACCCTTGCAATTGCAAAGGGCCCCGTGGCCAGAAGAGGGCCCCCTAGAGTCACTGCTAGCTAGTGGGTGAAAAAAATCATACATCAAAGGGGCCTCCAACCAAATTTTGCTTAGGGCCCCCAAAGGTCTAGGGCCGGTTCTGCGTCCAGAAATAGAACCCACAAGAGATCCCCCCCCTGTATAGCCTCAACAGACTGTTGGGGCAAGTGCTGCTTGCGAGCACCTATGAAGGCCGGCACGACACACGAGGGGGTGGGTGGGTGGCCAGCACCATGCACAGCCGCCGTTGCCTACCGAGTTTAGATGTTTACAGATCGCATCACGTGCTCATCTGAGGACTGAGTCGACCTAGGGGGGGGGCTCAGTAATTGGTTCAAATGATCACTGGTGTTGGCAGTGAGCGGAAAATCGAGCTCGTGTCTCTGGGTTCGTAGCGCAGCGCGCTAACCGCTACACTACCGCTCCCCACCCATCCAATCACCTACAACCACTCAACAACAACAACAACCGTTTACCACTAAGTAGTGGTGGCGTCACCACATCACTTGTGGCATGCTAGGTGCACTGCCGCCACGTGAAGTGTCGAAGGCTCGCTGGCAGGTCACGGGAAAGTCCCAGGTGCCATGTGTTGACCGACTGAGATGACTGGCAGATGCACCACCTGTGCCAACTTGCTGCATCTTAGCCACCCAAATACACACGCACTGACAAAGACACACACACACACTGGCCCACACACACTGACAAAGACGCAACAACAACCGCCATTCGTCACTAAGTGGCGGTGACGTCACCACGACGCTTGTGCCAGGCCATGTGCACCTTGAGGCTACGTGAAGTGTCGAACGCCCGCTGGCAGGAGGTCACGGGGCAGACCCAGCAGGTGCCACGGGTCGACTGACTGAGATGACCGAGATGACTGGCTGATGCACCACCTGTGCCCCCTACTGTTTCAACTTGCTGTGTTTTAGCCACCCGGCTTTCCGCTCGTTGTTGTGAGCTTCGCTCCCCTTCCCTCCGTTGTTGCTGGAGGGCGACTGCCTCAAACTGCCCAGTAGCAGCGTCCTTCACGGACCTCCTCCAGAGAGGCCGATCTCGACACCGCCGCTTGTGCCATAAATTCGCGGTTCGAATCCGGCAGGCAGCGCTAATTAATGCTGCGGGTTTATTAATCACAAAATACATGTCATCGGCTGCACGGTCGACATTAAAGACCCCCTGAGGTCGTTATGACGATCGGAAATTTTGCCAAATGATAAAAAAATGACACGGCGAATTACTCAACTGGGATTACACACACACAGCAGGAGCAATCATCGTTCCCCTGCTGTAGTTGTGCTACCATGTTCTGCGGATTATCAGACGCACCCCAAACTTACAAAAATAGCGCGTCTTATAATCGGGTATGTTGTGTGTGTGATCATATTTGTAAAAGTGTATTGACATCTGGACATAGCTTTGGGGGGCGTGGTGGTGTTGGTGGTAGTGGGGGATCTTACTTTCCAGACCTTTCATAAGCAGGACAATGCGGTAATTACGTTCTTGTGTACAGTTGTTGGCTGCTGTTTAATGTTTTTTGTTACCGCTGTTTTGTTCATCGTGTGAGGTTGTGATTTTCGTTTTGTCCTTTATTAATCACGCGCATTCTTTATTGGGATGTCTGCTGTGTCCCGTCTGGGATATTTTGTTTATCTTTTGCGTTTATTGTTTATCGCCGTGGTGTTAACCGAGCAGCGTTGATATGCGTGGCGATGTGTTTTTTTTATTGTCCATATTATTTATCGTGTTTATTGTGACCACCTTCACTGCCGTTGTTTACTGTTTGTTTACCCCACGTGCAGAGACTTACGTGCAACCGTGCAGCCAAGTCTCCACTCGTGGAAGGAGTTCGTCGTTTTACATCTGTGCGGCCACGACCTCACTCGCGTACATTGCGACAATTCTCAGTCCTTCATCTACCCACTGCTGGAAGATGATGACCACTCCCATGCAGTCGTCGTGCCGCGTGACCGTTGGCGCTGCAACAGCCCATCGATCTCGCGGTTGATGTTCGCTCGCTCTCGACCTTGAGAAGGAGAGGCACGAGGAGGAGGAATGGCGGACGATCCAGGAAGGCGGCAGCAGGAGCAGCAGCCACGCGCTATCAACAATTGCCCAAGCTCTGCCGTATATATTAGGATGTTTTCAGACAAACTTAAGCTGTTGTGTCTTCTTGGTTCTTTCGGTAAAGTCACGTAGAGGGAAGTATTAAAATAATAGAAATAAAACATAATAAAATAATT